GTACCAGCACCAACAAAAGAACCAACGAAGGCGCCGGTACCAGCACCAACGAAAGAACCAACGCAGGCTCCGGTGCCGGCACCAACGAAAGAACCCACGAAAGCTCCGGTGCCGGCACCAACAAAAGAATCCACGAAAGCTCCGGTGCCAGCACCAACACAAGCGCCGGTTCCTGCGCCAACAAAACCACCCAAAGAAAACAAGAAATGCAAGGACAGACGGGGAAAGTTCAGGGTCAGAAAGCAATGGGGCAGACAAAACTGCAAATGGTACGCCAAAAACAACAAATGCGACGAGAAGAAGGGGAGGAAGAAGCCGATATGGCAGTTCTGCAAAAAGGCATGCGGCAAATGCTAACTGGGCTGTTGTTTGTGACACTCACGAGGATCGAATCGAATCGAATCGAATCGAATCGAGCCGAGGGTCGAAACTCGAAACAAAGTACTGTACTTCCTAAATTTTGATGCGAGCAATAGGAGAAGGGGGGGCTTCTTGTACCGTACTGTAATAATTTTTAGCAATTTAGAGACTACTTATACATCAACAATAATTCTGACGCAGTACATTTACAGAGTAGTCTCCCGCTAAGTATTAGAATACCTTTGGTTCTGCCTAGTACCCGTCCAAGCCGGATCGTGTCGATGGCGGAAGTATTACTGCGTGAGAAGATCGGATCCTAACGTGGTTATTCTACATCCGCATTAGCTTGTCCAACACAAGTGCGCAGTCAGCGTCGAGGAACAACCCCTTTGGCAGGAAGGTCTTGGGGAGCCTTCCAGACAAAGATCCGAATGCAATCAGGCACAACAAAGTGAATTGGATTCTGTTTCGCGACACCGATTCTTGCAACGATGCAAATCGAGGGCGACACCGGTTCCGAAAAAACGATATCCGCAGACAGAAATTCATTATGGTTGTCGCTTTCGGCACGGCAAATTTCTGCACCCGTAACGGCCGTCCAAGACGTCGGCAGCGACATTCGCTGCAAGTGTTTCTTCCCGATCCGTGTTCGTCGGGCGTGCCAGAAGCTGTTTCTGCCCGAAACCGTTGCCGGATTCTCGATCTCTCTCTGCCCGCACCCGAGGCCGTGTCTCCGATCGTTGTGTCTTCCCTCTCGGGGCTTTGTTAGTCTCCTGGTGGCGGCGACGACCCCGTTCCGGCAACCGTCCACACAAAGCCAATCTTTTCCAGCAACCGCTCGCGGTCCGGCGGAAGGCTCTTGTTTTTCCGGCACTGGCGTTGCTCCTTGACCCAGGTCGCGAGCTGTGGGTCCTTGTCGTAGTGCTGCGGGACCATCGTCGACTGGGAGGCTTCCCTCCCGGCCTCGAGCTGCTCTCTCTGGTACTCGAGAAGGCGCCGGTAGGAATCCTCCCACTGGGCCCGGGGGACGTCCCACACAAAGCCGAGCCGTTCCAGCAGCTCCACCCTCTTGTCCGACAGGGTTCCCATCTTGTAGGCCCGTCGCTGGTTGGCGGCCCAGGTGCCGAGCTGCTTGTAGGGGTTGGTCGACGACGACGTCGACGACGACCGTGGTGGTTCGTCTTCGGGAGATGCGTCGCCTTCTCTGGCCGTTTCGTTGCCGCCGACGCTGCTGCTGCGCGTGGGCACCACGACGTGGTGGTGCACCGATCGAAAGTCCTCCAGCTCGCGGTACATGTCCATCCAGTTTTCTTCGTGGGGATCCCACACGAACCTCGAGCCGTCCGAGGGGTCCTCGAGCTCCTCCAGCTTCTGCACCCGCCGGGCGGACAGGGTGCCCCTCCGGAAGCAGTTGCGCTGCTTGATGGCCCAGTCCCCGAGCTGCCTGGCCTGCTCGTCGTCCCCCCTTGCGCCGCAAGTGCCCCCGCCGAAAAAGGCGGCCTTGTAGGCCTCGTAGGTTTCCAGCCACCGGAGCTCCCGGACGTCCCAGACAAAGCCCAGCGCGTCCAGGCGCTGGATCCGGTCCGAGGTCAGCTGGTGCCTGCGCTGCCGCTGGTTCGCCACCCAGCAGGCCAGCTGCGGGTCGTCCGCATAGTTCTGCGGGACGCTGCAGGAGCCGCCGTGGGCCTCCGCGTAGACCGAGAGCCGCCGGAGCATCTCGGCCCACCGGGCCTCCTTGACGTCCCAGAAAAAGCCCTCGACCTCCTCCAGGAGGCGGACCTTCTCGGCCGAGATGGATTCCCTGCGGTACCTCAGGCGCTGGGCGTCGACCCACCGCTTGAGGACCGGGTCCCCGTGGTAGCGCTTCTCGAAGACGGATTCCAGGTCGATGGGGGAAGCGCCGTTTTCTGTGGCGCGGAGCTTGCTGGGGAGCTTGCGCCGCTCGTAGTCGCAGAGCCGTTCGTACTGCTCGAGCCACCTGGCCTCCTGGTAGTCCCAGACAAAGCCGATCTTGTTGAGGAGTTCCTTCTGCTCGGGCGAGAGGCTCTTGTGCCTCTTGCGCTGGAGGCTTGCCCACGCGGCGATGGAGGGACCGCTACCGTCGTCGGCGGCGGCGGTGGTGGACACCATCGTCGTCCCGTGTTCCCTGTGGTGCTTCTCCAGGAGGCGGTAGGCTTTCATCCACGACGCCGCGGGCGGATCCCGAACGTGCTGTCGTTGTCCTTGTCCTTGTCCTTGTCGCTGCCCTTCGCTTCCCTCCTCTCCCGGGATCGGCTCGCCGCGGTCCGGCGTGGTCGAAAAGGACGGGTGCCTTCGAAAGGAGGGCCACGGGACGGTGGACACGGTCGTTGCTGCTGCTGTCGGCAGGAGGATTCCCGGCACGGTCCGGTGGCCGTTGAGAACGGGACCGGCCGGTCCGAACCGGAGCGCGGTCCTCCCCACGGCCCTCGACGCAGCGGATCGGAGTCTCGCCGTCGCCGTCGCCATCCCCGTCGCCATCGCCGTCGCCATTGCTGCCGTTGCTACGGAGCGTACGTTACCGATGTCTGTCGGTTTCTGGTGCCGTGTTTGCTACCGCAGCATTTCACGCCGCAACGGCGCAGCGGGCCTGCCGAGCTACTGGTACGGGTGCTGCAAGTGCCAGGAGCAAGTCCACAACACAACACAAAACTCCGTCTATCTCTCGGAAGCGAGAACAGGAGATTGCTGATGACAATATAATGATGATGTGATTCGAAAGGACAATCACGAATGGGATGATTGTTGGCAGATTGATTGTTGTGCTTTGTGCTTGGACAGGTACCTATGAATTTTTTGTAATAGGTTATGAGATGACATGTTTTCACAGGTTTCAACATGCTAACTCATTCCTCCATTTTTTAAAAGTGCCCTTTCATTCACAATCACAACCTTTCAGACCAGAAAACGATAAGAACAGAAGGCGCGCATACTGTACCGTATCGTACGGTACGGTATGTGTCGGTGTGTCACTTTGACATAAAATGTACGTATCGTACGTACGTACCCTAGGAGCTACCGGTATATGTCCTCTTAAGCGACATACAAGAAAAAGGGGGCGGTTCGACATTCATGTTACCTCTGGATGAAATTACAGTGCCCCCCCAAACCATTGGACCCTCTATTTGTGATAAGTACCGGTACGGTAGAATAACACAGCAGAGCACAAACAAGTCTTTCTGGTACGAGAAACTACCCAGTACCGTACGTACCGTTACGTACCGGTACGAGTAAAGAACCGCACACTTCGTCCGTTAACTGTTTTTCGACCCCCTTTTTTTTGTAAATTTCCGGGGTTTGTAC